AAAGCAGCGTGGACACGCCCACCCATTGACGCACAATGCCATATGGCAATCGAAGAATTTCAAAGGGCTGCCAACGGAAGGGTTAAACATTCACCACAGTTCACCACACATGCATACGACACACGAAGATCCCCCCCCCCCCATATAGCCCTAACAGACTATTGGGGCAAGTGCTGTTAGCGAGCACCTATGAAGGGCCGGCATGTTGCACGAGGGGGTGGGTGGCCAGCACCATGCCTGAACGCCTTTGTCTCTGCAGCGATTTTACACACCTCACCAGGTCCCTAAATGAGGCTTAGTCGACCTAGGGGAGGCCCTGGGTCGGTTCAGATAATCGTCACTGGTGTTGGCCGTCAGCGGGAATCAAACTCGGGTCGCTGGGTTCATAGCGCAGCTACACTACCGCTCCCCACAACACACGCGCACACACAACACGCAGACGCAATGCTAGGCTGATTTCTAGAGCAAGTAAGGAACGTATCCGTAAAGTATTTTTTCACGGGTGCGTGTGGATACGTGCAAAAACAAAGAAAATATTCTGACGGAAAATGTAGGCAAATGAGAGGGACCATGTACAGGATCTGTGATAACGTTTCTCGGAAGTGCTAAAGAGTCGCGCAGTGCAACGTTGAACGATCATCAAAGTCAGCAGACAATTCGCAGATGTGTACGCGGTTCATTTCGAAATCAACAAGTAAATGCAGAGGTTTCGCCGGTTACAAACAACCGTTCATTCAGCACTTGGCAAATGCCCACAATTCAAACGGTTTCCTCTTTCAGTCGGTTATGGCACTGGGGCCAGCTGCTCTGTCGGCGGTAAGCACTTGCACGTTCAGCAAAACCTCACGGTTTCAGCAGCCCTCTGCGTTCCCCTTGCACACACGTGTCTGTCGTTCTACTCATTTCCCGAGACATGAACGGAATCGCGTACAGCAATCTTTTATGTATGTATGTTGAACTTCTTTCACGCCGTATGTAGCCAACCGTGCTAATCGGAGTAGAAGCTTGACGTTGATGATATTCTTGGTTCTTTCGGTAAAGTCACGTAGAAGGGAAACAATAAAATAATGAAAATATAAAACAATAAAATTCTCACGACGTTTCGACTGCAACACAAGCAATCATCATCAGATGTGAAAACCACAACAAGAAAATTTTGTTCTAGATTTTTATTATTTTATTGTTTCCCTTCTACGTGACTTTACCGAAAGAACCAAGAATATGAATCCCTGCAGTCACGAAAGCTTTAAATCAAGATGATGATGTTGGCAGATATTTCGTGTGTGTACATCAATATTGCCTGTCCACTGCTGGATCAAGCCTGGCATAACCAGGCCCTCCCCCACACCGTACAGGTCATCGGGGTTACTTGACATTACTTTATCAACCCAAAGGAAGTCGGCCGTGTATTTGAGCAACGCTTGCAAATTAACTTTCTATGACTGCGCAATGGTTTTCTGATAACGTTCCCGGCATGCTTCATAAGAATAATATCATGGGTGTGCAGTCGAGGAGGCACAGTGGCCAGAGCACCGAGCCAGCACCTTTGGGATCCTTGGGGTTCGATTCCAGGTTTCAGCTGCCCCGTAATTAAACCGTCCCACAAGCGCGCTCCCAGTCAACCATGGGATAGCAACAGGACAGTATGTCTTGTTGAATCCGTTTCATACGTAGGCTTTCGCGAGATAAATAGGACCGTAAATAAGGCCGACACAGGAAGACTTCTTCACAATTCTGGCAAATCGCCTGATGAAGCTGGTTGTCATTGCTAGCGAAACGTATTCGAATTGTAAATGTCGTGGGTTTACTCTCCAACACACCAGTGGCACACTTTGTTTACGTGACAAAGCTTACTAATTGGCTGTGGTGGCAGGTTAATGACACATTTTGTATTTATGTGACCTAACCAAAAAAAACCCCTTTATTTTGAATTGCTCAATCTATCTGTGTGAAGCTTTGAGCGTCACCCCCTGCTATGAATGGGCTGTCTCCAGAGCACTCCCACATGTCAAACACTCCTTACAATGGAATCTTCCAAACAGCCCAAGCAGGGACGTTCAAGAATGGGTAACGTGAAACTCGGGCCGAAGATGTAAAAAAGTTTGTTTTTAATGTTTTAACAACGTACCTTGATATGGGAGCCTTACAATTACAATCACTCAAACATGCTTGTGCAGCCCGGGTTGGATGCTTACTGGGCAAAGTTTTCTCTTAAGGGAGGTAGGTGTTAATGGATTACTGCTGTCCCCTGGCATCGGTTAAAAATACTTTTTTTTACAAAGGTGTACAAAACCTTATTTTTGTGCACATTAGCGGAATGATTGCACCTGTACTAGGCATCGTTTTCTGTACTTGTTCCGTGATTGAGGTCATGTGTCGAAACAAGCTGGCAAACCCGTCAATTAAATCTAAATTCCATGCTATTTTTATTCAAATCAAACGCAACGATCAATGTTGCTCCCCGTTATTGGGAGTGGTGCTGCACATCAAAGGAGTCCCCTTTTCGGGTGTTTGTTTATCCCGAGTTCTACTTCCGACCAGGCTATCATCGGTGCCGAGTAATATTTGAACCGTTTTTGAGCCTGACCTTCACTGACCGGGAATTGACCAACATGGTGAAGTATGGTCAAACAACCCCCGATGACCAATGCAGCGTGGGAAGGCATTTATCCAGTCGTGGATTGACTAAAAATGTGTGTGTAAGGTGTGTCATTTTGACAACTTAAGTGGTTGGCTATGTACACTGCGAAAGAAGTTCAAAGTATAAACTATTTTTTTTACCAGGTAAGGCTCACTGAGCTATATAGCTCTTTTTTTAGAAGTGACCTGGCCATAAATGATAGCTTAACGATGTCGCTTGTCATCATGTGGAAATCTATAGCAGCCAAATACTCTAAATGGACGTTGATTCTAAATGTGGATGGAAAAACCGGAGGACCCGCAGATAAATCCATGCGACCACGCGGAGAACGTGCACGCTCCAAATATACAGTCGTCAGGGTCGGGATTGAAACCAGCAGCTCCTGCAAACCAGGCGAGGTAGTTAACATCTACTGTACATACAAAAGATTACCCCATGATGGCCTTTACTGCTCCCTATTGCCCTCTAGTGGATACAGAAGATTTCCTATGGATAGAGCTACAAAAGATAGCAACACAGCGATGGTGCAGGGAAACTGCATGTGTGTTTGGCCGTTTTTGTCCGTTCCGTGTGTATCTCAATAGAGACGTCGCAACTGCACAGCAGGTACGCTGACATCGCTGGGCATTGTGGGGTCTGTGTGAGGTCTCTGCCGATGTTAGACGTGGCCAGGGATCGAACTCTTCTTACCAGGTCCATCGTGCAGTGTGCTGCTCATCACTGCTTCACTGCCACACTGCAATATGAGTGATATATAAGTGCCTTTCTTTTAATTACTTTGTGAAATGTATGGAGCCATGTTTGTAAGAAGGCAGACTGGAAAAAAATACCTGTTATTAACTTCTCAGAGTAACAGCTCTCCATGAAAAACCCTGGCTTGCAGTCCTGAGTGGGGAAGATTCCTGGACATGCAAACACAGAGGGCTGCTGTCCATTTGCCACGGATAAGCGCTGGCTTTGTGGGACCTTGTCACTAACGGCGGAGGCGGCGCCGCGCCGGACCCCAACAAATGCTGGCGCCACACGTGGGACAGACCGGGTTGGGGGGTTGGGGGGAGATGTGGGTGCCAAGCGTAGCGCTGACTAAGAGCGCAAACTCACGGTGCTTAAGGCCTCTGGATGTTGAAACGCGAGAGCGGTTGGTCGCATTTGCGTGAACAGGGAAGCATGTTTGAATAAGCGACGCACGGTGCGCGTGCACAATGGGCATTATGGGCATAGCGCCCATTGTAACACCTGGAGGATGTGGAACTGAGCGAACTTGCCCAGGACTAGTACCATCGGAGTCAAGATCAGCTTATTGTGGAGGAGGCTCGTGAAGGACGCTACTGGGCAGTTGGGGGGCAGTTGCCCTCCAGCAACAGCTGAGGGCAGATGAGCGACGCTCACAACAACGAGCGGGGCGACGTGAGAATGTGGATTGTCCACCGGCTGGAACAGGTGCCACACGATCACCCACCACATTTCTTCGCTCTCCTTTCAACCTCTGGCCACGGAGAAGCTTCGTACCCCTCGGAGCACCGTCCCGAGATCTGTTCATCCTTCCCCATGACATAGAACTGGCCATACCCGAGCGGTGTTCCTCCGTGGCTACCCCACGTCATCTTTGGAAGCCTTTCTCGCTCCGCGCACGTAAACGTTCGAACTGCCCTCCGCTATCAGAAGTCGCGTGGAAGGTGCCCCGCGCTCACTCGGACCAGTGCGACATGGCGCGCGGTGTCGATTTGTATAATGTCCCCTGTGTATATTTGCAGTGCGATTCGCCTACCTCGCGATCCTAGTTCAATAACCAATTATTTTCTTTACACTCATCGGCGTAGTGCTTCTCGGGGCTTACTCGGGGCACGTGAACCAATTACGTGCAACATGTTGTGTCTATCCACTGCTGGATGCGCGCCTTCCTGCACCGTGCGGGTTGAAGGGGTTATTGACCATACTTCGCCACGCTGGTCAGTGCGAGTTAGGGAATGTGTGGGGAGCATGGATGTGGCGTTATAGAGGTTGGGAACAAGAGTGGGTTTTTCCACTCCGCACGTCACATTACTAATAGGCTAACGTCAGCATATGTAACATTCTCGCATAATTCGCGCAAATTCTGGCGAACCAGTTCTCAGCGAACACCTCCACACGTGCGTCGCTGTCATGAGAATCGGGTGAACCGTCATTTATCTGACCCGGGTTAATCTTGCGATTGGGGAATATTCCCCTGGTCACCTGGCTAAACAAAGTCAACCCGACTCGATGGCCACACGTCCGGCATCCGAGTCCGATGGCACGACCGAGAGCTGACGTCCGCCTGTCCGTTGCTGTGCGGCACCTCTCCCCTCTTTCTCTCTCTCTCTCCCCCCCCCCCAACCAGTTGCTGGGCGCTCCCCAGCGGAACGCTTCCATGGCTGGCGCGGTGCTGATGGGCAACCAGCACGGGCAGCAAGCGCAGCACACGCAGATGCGCCCCCTGGACAGCCCGCCATCATGGTCCGGGTACAATCCTCGTCCCAACGCACTCACCACACCGGGCAGGAGGGCTTCTCATCCCCCCCCCCACCTCCCTCCCTCCCAACCCCCTCGAAAGACAAAGATCCCCAGCGTAGCCTGAACAAACTGTTGGGGCGAGTGCCGTGAGCGAGCAGCACCTGTGAAGGCCGGAACGGCACACGAGGTGGTGGGTGGCCAGCACCACGCCCGGCCGCCTTTTTCTCCCCAGTGACGATGTTTAAACACCGCACCAGGTATTCATTTGAGGCTTGGTCGACCTTGGGGAGGCCCATGACTGGTTCAGATAATCACCACTGGTGTTGGCAGCGCACTAACTGCTACGCCACCACCACTGGGCACATCCCCCCCCACCTCCGTTCCCATGACATCCACCACATTCTCCGACTCTCAGGTTCTCTTGGCCAGGTAAATTAACAAGAGAACTGTAATTGAAATTGTCACCATCCGCTCCCATACCATCATCATAAACCCTAATTTGTTCCCGCTTCTCAGCTCCTTGGCTCAGAATCGAAATATTTATCCTGGAGAAATCCGATGAGCTATCAAGCTCCTTTGCACAGATGATCCCACTCCTCCTCCCCTATATGACCGCACTCCACACGTGGGACCTTGAGGGAAGGATGGCAATGATAACAATTATGACGCTGATGATGGCGGTTGTGCTGATGATGATGATGGTGATGACGACGACTACGACGATGATGGTGGTGATGATGCCCAAGGTCGATTGTCCTGCTTTCACACACTGGCATTTGGAACACGTAATAACAGAACCGACGACGTTGAGACGGAATTAAGGATCAAACCTACAGCACACGTTGTCGTGAACGGCAGCGACCTGGCGGGTATTGTTATTAGGCGCCAACGTCGGTGGATGCAGGTTGACATCGCCGCCACGATGATGACTCCACCCGTGAGTGGTGGTCAGCTTGAGGGTCTGCGTGTTGGAGGAGTGCTCTGCCAGCACTGCTCATGGTGGTCCGGTTCATTTCGGGCAGCTCCCCACGATTATTTATAATGTAACTATCAGGCCCCCCCCCCCCATGGTGCTAAGTGCAGTCTCCAATGCTTATTGTCCAATCTGTCTCTCTGACCTCTCTGTTACGCGCTATGAAGAAAGGCCGTTGGCCAAAACGTCAACAAGTATTCATTTTTTCCTTTAAAGGCCACAGTCTTGTTGACGGACGTGTTGAGTTTTTTTGTTATTTTGGTTTGTGCACCACTGCTATTGCACCTCCTATTAGCGTGGTTGGCTCCGTACGGTGCGAAAGAAGTTCAACATACAAACACTGCAGTATCGCCAAATAATTTAGTTTACCCATGGTTAGAGTTTCTAAAGCTGCGCTGAATATTCGATGATGATGATAATAATCATGGTGATGCCCTTCCTTTACCCAGGAGAGCGTCTCTCGTTGAGTCTCAGGAGACACCGTCTCAGATTGGTCCCATAGTGGGGAGGTTTGGCCAACTCTGTGAAAACCGCGTGGGACAAAACTGGAGTACCCAGAGTAACAACAGCCACTAGAGGCTGCTACGTTCACCAAAGTGCGTAAGGAAACAAATAAACCCAATCGTTGGCCGGAATCGTGAGTACCAACGATTAATTTGCACCGCGAGGGAGGGGGGGAGGCAAAGCATTGCAGCCGCCGATGCACGTTCCGTTTGTGAACCTGTGTTCAGTTGCGAGGGATGCATCGTTAGCATGTGGCCAGCAGAGGTCAGAGTCTGCGCACTTTGACAGCGCGCGTCAAATACGTTTACAGAATGCCTCCTGTGCGGAATCGTTGCCGCTTTAAGCCGCGGTTACATTTGTTCGTTGAGTCACGTTTCCTCAATGCTTTTTTCGTACTTAGTGTGTTGTACAGCGGGGAGTTAGAACGTCCACAGAATTGCGACGCACCATGCGGGTACCAATTTTACGACCGGAAGCGAACACGGTAGTTATTGCATTGCTTGAATGCGATGATTAAACGGACAGGGCCGTGTACTGCTCAAACACATTTTTCTAAGCATTTGATACATATTTTTATTGGTCAGTTTGAAATTCCCCCCCCCCCACCTCCGGATTCCACGTGAGATGACACAGATGGCCCCAGCTCTCTTAGTGGTTCTAACTAGTCAAACAGGAGCACAGAGCAAAAACCCTTTGATGCAAAGCCAGATTTTGGTGGCCAATTTTGGTGGTAAATGGCATTAATTCTATATTAAGATGGTTGAGCATTTTTGCTCATCGAATAATAAGTGAATAACTTTGCCCTTTAATTTACAAAGCCTCGTTGAATTTCAAGATTCTTCTTCAGGAGGGTCCTGCCATTGGAATGTTTGGCAAGTTCCGTTCATGGGTGTTTACCATGTGTGTGAGAGCCTGGAGAAGAAAAAAACACAGGAAGCAAACAAGTTCCAGATTCAAGAATCTGTTGCCTTACTTTCATGGCCCCCGCGTTGCCCAGCGAGTTTTGTGCTTCCGCAATTCGTAGTTGATCCCCCGCCCCGACCTTTGCCCTCCCTCTCCGTACATGACCGCCACGCTCACTGGTTAGACAAGGAGCGTACGCGAGCAGGTACAGAAGGGCAGCGTAACACTGGCCACTGGGTTGAACTACACTGCCCTCTGCTGACCACCACGTTACACAGTGCTGCAGACACAACCTATGACAACCTGACGTGCATGCTGGTCACCTGTCTGAGCACACGACCCAGGCTCATAAACCCTGCTTCTAAGCTTCCAAGGTCTCGCGAGATCAGGTGCAAGTCCGGTTGATGTGCCAATGGACATTGTGTGTATCGTGCCAGGCTTTAATAATAGGTCCCTCGCGACTAACAGCGCTCGCCTTGATCAAGCAAAGTGGAAAAGAGTTTTTTTTTTATTCCCTTGGCGTGTAGATGCGTGCATTCACGTGTTGTGTGTTGGCATGTGGTGTAAATATAATCAATTTGAATAATTGAGCTCCGATGGGCCCTCCGGGGCCTGCCAAGCCCCATCGAACACACGGCTCTGGTTGTGTGAGCGACGTTGGGGCCCTTTGCTGAACAAAAAAACCCCTTGTCTGGAACTCTGCGCTCAGCATCAGTTAGCGGAACAGCAAATTGCATTTTTGGGGGCATGCATTTCCAAAGTGTTAGTAAATGAGGCATCATGAATTATCGGGCATTTGGAGATTCCTTGATTCTTACGAATTTACTTTTGAGGAAAGTTAAGTGGGCTTGGACAGGAAATGTCGCTAGAATGCCGATGGTCAATAGATAATAATAATTATGTTTACAATGCGCCGTTCATCAAAGATCTCAAAGGACTGAACAAGACACAGCGACAGATACTCAACATGGACAATAAATAACTCATTCAGCTAAAAACCGAGAAATCTAAAATCATGAAATAAATCCTAAAATCAATTTGCTGAATTGGCTAAACGTTCAGCGGAATGTATAGAGATCACTTTTAATACGAGCTTTAAAAGCGTCAACGGGCTCGGAGATTGCCGGGAACCTCATGGGAGAGAGTTCCTGGTGAGTACAGACGATGGCGACGGCCGAGAGCAGAGAAAGACGCCTGAGAAGGGGGCGGCCATGGTGGAGATGGAGCGATGAGATCTGCTTGTTGAGAGAGTTTGGCAGCATCGAGGGACTGCGCGGGGGGACGCCGTCGGTGTGTGGAAGGCTTCGTCCAGAAATGGATAGATCATGGCTGATAACATCGCTACTTACTTACATTTAGGCCAGTGACCCGAACAAACTTCACAGGTGAAACACTTTGTACATATGTTGAACTTCTTTATCACCGTACGTAGCCAGCCGTGCTTATCGGAGGTGCGAGAGAAGTACGGAACCAGATAAGTATCGATGGATGAATCGAACTTTAGACCGTTTGTTGAATCGCCGGAGGTGGAGAGGGTGAATCGTGGGATTGCTAACTGTTGCCACGCGTAGAACAACGCACCGCAAGATGAATGAGGGCATCGCTCTTTATTTATTTATCTGGCCTCTATGTGCACGGCTCTCGTTGCTGCATGAATACAAATTGGCCACGATACGGCCCAGTGTGTGGGATCGCCAGAAGGGCCTCTCAACCCCGGGAGATTGTGGGTTCACAACCCGGCTAAGGGCAACAACACGGCCCCAATTCGAACACCACTTGCTGACACGTCAACAGACGACGCTGTGCTGTTGTACGCATTGATCCCCCCCATTTTAGGAATGTGGAATTTCCAGCAGTTGGAGGACCGTCAAAACGCCATTCCGCAGCCGGCCTCTTGCGTCTGTCCACCATCGCTTCTTGCCGTGTGCTTTGCCCAATCCCGCTTGCCTCCGCCGACAGTTGACACGACGTCTCCGATGTGCATTTGTTCCTCCGATCCACACGTGTGTTCCTCCTTTCTGTCTCTCAACACAATTCTACGCACGCAACCCCCTCCGTGCTTCTCGGCAGATTTTCTTCGCCTCTCTTTGTCCGGCTTCCACGATCTGTCGCAGTCGGCGAGTTGTGCACTCGTCGCGCACGTTCTTTTCGGGCACCCGCGAAGAAACCTTCAGTGTCAATTTACCTAATAAACTGTTAAGTTACAAATCGGCCGTGGTACCAACTACCGAATCGTTTTTTTTTTAAGTTAAGTTGATGTTTCACCAGGTCCAGAACTCAAGAGACCAGCGGTGAGTCACATTTTGCAAGAGTGACCCGGCTCACCAAAACGACAAAAAGCTAAACAAATACGCATATGTAAACAGCCATGGATGTTTGTCCTAATCCAGGGATATTTGTTGATGCTAAAGCGGTTCTCAACACGACTGTAATTTCGGTTCCCCTTCCCGTATGGCCACTGGGTCAATAAACTCCTGGCAGCGGCTGCTCTCCTCCGATGAGTAATAATCACTGTCATAATCTTCACCATCATAATAATGATCGCTAGCGTATCCCAACTGCCGCGGATGTCTGTCTCATTCCTCTCCGTGCCTCCTGCTCCACTCCCATCAGTCTTTTCTGACATGACCACCGCCGTAGCAAGGCAGCCTTCTGCATGTCATCTCCCTGTTGACGTGCGTTGCGTCTTCTGCTTCAGATTCTTTCCAGCGTCTTCATTTCAATCACCGCTACGCTTGGTTAGGTTTTGCTGCCCGCTAGCAGACCCAGTGTTCTCGCCCCCTCCCCCGCCCAAAGTTCTTTAAGCTTCCACTCAAAGACAGAACAGAGATCGTTTCCACGGTTACAGCCATGCTGACGAAAAGCGCGCGCTTTTTTATTAAGGTGCCCAAAGAAGAAAATCTGCTTATTATTCAGAAGCATTGTTCCGGCCGTCTCGCTATTGTCTGCCTGTATGGGGCGGGCGCAAGAATGGAGCAATGCCGCTGAGTCGCTGGCACCGGCCGCTGGCTGCGTCGTCGGCGGTTACGTGAGTGGAAAATCAAACTCAAGCAAAGGGCAATCCGGCAGGGCCGCCCCCGCCAGCTAGGCGCCGCTTGCGTCTTTATTCGAGATTCGTGTGTGCCCGCGCTTAAGCCACAGGCGTGTGGAACCGTTCCCTTACCGAGGGCCGAACGGTCTTTCACCAACCTTTTTGCCTGGACACACGTAAACGCAACAACAGCGACGATGACAACCATCACTCGCCGCTAAGTGGCCGGCGATGGCACCGCCGACGCTTGTGCCAGGCTAGGTGCAACTAGAGGCCACGTGAAGTGTCTAAGGCTCACAACTGGCAGGAGGTCACAGGACAGATCCAGTTGCCATGGGTTGACTCCGCTTGTTGTTGTGACTGTCGCTCTTCTGCCCTCCGCTGTTGCTGGAGGGCGGGCTGCCCCCAACTGCCCAGTAGTGTCCTTCATGGTCCTCCTACATAGGCCGATCTTGACACTGCTGGTACCAGTCATCAGCAAGTCCTATCAGCTCTACATCCTCCTGTACCATGAACCAAGACCGAGATCCCCCTGATAGCCTTAACAGACTTTTGGGGGGAAGTGCTGTTCTTGAGCACCTATGAAGTTAAAGCACCTCCGATTAGCACGGTTGGCTTCGGACGATGCGAAAGAAATTCAACGCATGCGCACGCACCTCCGTCCCATCTGTGATCACAAGATGGCCTCGCGCTGAAGGAAGCGGCCGTGCGACTTGTACAAAGGATAGCGGAGCAAACAAATCTCCATTAGCGAGCCGGAAAGTTAAGGAAACAATACAAATGAGACGGCGAACACGAGACTGAAAAGTGGAATCACAAGGCGGGCGCGAATTGTTGCCGACGCACCAAATCGGCGGCGGGGGGGGGGCGGTAGGGTGAGGGAGGGGGAGGATCACGCGACGACGCCGGAATTTATCCGCTGTCTCGATGCCTCCCCAACCAGCGCCGGACATTGGCCCGCCGAGAGGACACCCAGAACCCGGGGCTCGAACCCGTGCCCTCGAAAGTAGCCGGCTCGCTTGCTTCCCAAGGCCGATGCCGCCTGGCCCCCCCACCCAACCCCGGAGCTATGGCGCAACCCGGGGCCCTACCACGTGCGTGTTTGTTATTCAGCGTGGCATCACGGAGAGAGACGCGTTTATTTTTCTATCTCTGTTTTTGCCGTGGCCTTTTTGCCCTCCCCCCCCCCCCCCAGCCAAGTTGGCAGTGGCAGCAATGTTGCATTGCATTGCAACATTGCTGTGGAAGACCTGAATCGGCTATTTTGAGTGCTCGCGAATAGCTCGAGTGAAACCCGAGCCCGCGCAGAGGAACGAAATACGACTATTAATATAAACGTGTACGACGTTTACCAGCGCGTCCTGGACAGTCTGCGAGCATCGGAGAGAGAGAAGAGGGCGTTTGTGACCTCTGGACTGTCCACTGCTTGCTGAGCTGCATGCGCTTCCGATTGCCGAAGGAAAACTTTACAAACAAGGTCGCACTCATTACACACGCGGTGCTTGCCACAAATCCACAAATGAACCACGTTACCCTGCTGATCTCGTCAGGGACCGGCTTGTAGCTTACCGTCGAACATCGCATCCCTTTCAGGTGCGCTTCTGCGGCCATCTGGAACGCTCTTCCGATATGAGGAAGCCACTGGAGCTATGCACTTTTAAATCTAGATAGAAAACTCGTTTTTTTTAAAGTGCTTTTTGTGTTTAGTTTGTTGTCATTCCCCCGGCACCCCCGATTAGCACGGTCGGCTACGTACGGTGCGAAAGAAGTTCAACATACTTGCATGTTGGTGGTGATGTTGATCGTGGCGATGTTAAGGAGGTACATGCATGATGAGGAAGTGGGGTATATTGACGTTGATGGAGGTGATTGTAATGATGCAACTATCTGGAACGCGCTCTTCCTTCTGATATTAGGAAGCCACTGGAGTTATGCACTTTTAAATCAGCTGGATTGAAAACTTTTCTTTAGAACTGCTTTTTGCGTGTAGTTTGTTGTCCTTACCCCGGCACCTCCGACTCGCATGGTCGGCTACGTACGGCGTGCAAGAATTCCCAACGTATAGTTGGTACGACCCGTCCTGTCCCTCGGCGCGTGTGCAGCAAGGGCCGCAAGGGAGACAAGAACGGCAAGGGGCTGCGCCACTTCTCAATGAAGGTGTGCGAGAAGGTGCAGCAGAAGGGCACGACGTCATACAACGAGGTGGCCGACGAGCTCGTGGGCGAGATCACCAGCAGCGCACGGCTGGCGGCTGCCGCCGGGGTGAGTCAACCCCCCCCCCCCCCCCCCCCCCCCCCCCCCCAGTCCTCGTAGCACTCAGCTGACACCCCCCCCGCCCACCCTGGATTTGTCTCCGGGTCCACCGTTTTTTATTATCGTGGAGGCCACTGGAGCTATGCGCCCTCACCTGGTATACAGGAGGGTCACGGGTTCTATCCCGACCACCGACGCCTGCTGTATATTTGGGATTTGCGCGCCTCTCTTCCTGTGGTCACGTGGATTTTTCTCCGGGTCCTCCGGTTTTTCTCTCCTCCATATTTAGAATCGAAGTCACGTGTTTAGGGTTATGGCTGCTGTCAATTTTCACACGATGATAAGCCACTTTGTTGAGGTGCTGTCATTTGTGGCCGGGTTGCTTATGAAAAATAGCTCATACCTCGGTGGGCCTTGCCTGGTAATATAAATAAAAATAGTTAATAATTGTAAGCACTGTCATAATAATAACAACGGTGATTTCTATATCGCAGTAAACACGGCGAGCCCGTGACACGGGCGCTGAACGTACAACAACAAAAAATTTCAACGCGAGTCTTGAGTTCATTGCAGTGAGAATGAGGTGTAGCGGCACTTGCGGCTTTTGAAAAGTACGAATGTATGTACAGTCAACTTCTTTCGCTGTCGTACCTAACCAACCATGCTGATCGGAGGCGCGGGGCAAAAGGTGACTTTGAAAGAATGAGTGTTTGAATGAGTCACATTCCAGATCTGGGTGGTGGCCTGCCGCTTTAGAAGCAAGGGGTTGGTGGATCGGGCGTCTTTGTGAAGCTCACAAACCCCGCTGGGGGCGGCTCGATGGTGGTCACAGCAAATGGATTCCTAAACCTGTCTCTGTGGAGCTTTTCGAGTTATTTTTACCTACGTGACTTTACCGAAAGAACCAAAGATCATTGCAGTCACGAAAACTTCAAATCTAGAATTCGCCACCCTTTTATGGATTTTCTCCGGATACTTCATCCCGGAGGCCAAAACGCTTGCGATTATAATTGGCCAAACATTCCCAATGCAAGACCCGACTGAAAAACAAAATGTTGTTGAGCTTCAGTGAGGCTTTTGTGGGTAAATAAAGGAAATTATTCATATTAAGGCGCTAGGGCTTATAATACTACCGTTTGAACCTGGCGACCTGGGTTCATTTCCCGGTCATGGTAACCATCAGTGGCGAGTGGATGCTGAACTGCTGCTGGTTCCCACCCCCCCACCCTTCTCCACCACCCATTTTCACCAATCTATACCGGCCAACGTGGTGAAGTATGGTCGAAACAAGCCCACGATCGAGACGACGTGGGGATAGGCCATCTCCTGGTGGTGTATTATCTCATAGGGCCGCAAATGGCTTTGATCGTGGTGCCGACATGCGCACATTTTACCCCTCGTGCAATGAACGCTCCGTGCGCGGCTACGTAATTTGCACGGCGGGCGTGTGCTGACTGGCGGTGTCGCAGTGATAGGAGAAACTCGTAAAAACAAAAAAACGCCGCCTCAGCACGCTGCGCTTGTGGTTTCGGTTATGCCGTGGCGAGGCGCCTCTGCCGCTGATGCTTTTTGGGATTTTGGTGTCCACGGCTAGCACCCCCCGTCCCCCCCCCCCCCCCCCCCCCCCCCCCCCCCGGTCCTCCCTGGTCTTGACCGCAGTTGTTTACGTACAAAATAAAATCTATATTTGAGGTGGTCGGCAGATTCTGAAATGCGGGGCAGAAAGTCCCCCGGGTCACCACGGTGAAGTGGATTATCGGGTTTAGGCCATTTGTAAATTGGAGCGTGCCCATCGATTAGCTGTCTCGTTGTCCTGAAAGCAAGTGCATCATGACGCCTGCGTTCCTGCGCGTCGCTGGGTGGCAGACACCCGCATCGCCGGCTCGAAGGACGCACGAGGGCGATTCGTGTCTCGCCGTGAGTCCACGCGCGTTTTCATTTCGCCCGACCAGACGTACGACCAGAAGAACATCCGTAGGCGCGTGTACGACGCCCTGAACGTCCTCATGGCCATGAACATCATCTCGAAGGAGAAGAAGGAGATTCGCTGGATCGGGCTGCCCACCAACTCGGCGCAGGAATGCCAAAACCTGGAGGTAAACCCGGCCCGAGTGTGTGGACGCACCTCCGATTAGCGTGGTTGGCTGCGAACGGTGCGAGAGAAGTTTCGACGTACGTACGTGGACACGATCGGCGGCGTCGTCGCTGCCGCCAGGAGAATCGGGTCCTTGGGTCACGCTCGCCACTCGCGACATCGCAGCAGGAAACGGAGGTTTCGGGTGAGCGTGGTTTTGTGAAGGAGAGGTCGCCACCCCTGGATTATCTCGGCGTTTCACAGAACTAGTTGGTGTATCTCTCTCTCTCTCTCTTCTGAATACGTGTCTCGTATCTCACTTATATCTCTGTTCTAATTACTTTCTGAATACAGTAAAACCTTGGATTGCGAGCATAATTCGTTCCGGAAACGTGTTTGTAATCCAAAGCACTCGTATATCAAAGCACTCGTATGTCAGTTGTGATCACGTGACGCTCGGCAAACAAAGCGTATACGTACACTACTCGTATTGCAAGACCCTCACTCGTTTATCAAATTAATATTTATTTAAAAAATTTTGCTCGTCTTGCAAAACACTCGCAGACCAAGTTACTCGCAATCCAAGGTTTTACTGTACTTCTCTTTTCAGTCAAATAGTTGTCTTGAATACGCCTCCTGTCTCCTATCTCTCTCTCTTGCAGCACTTCTGCATTCATCTCTCGTCTCCTTATTTTCCGTCTGTGGCCCACCACTCGTAAGTATGGGGAGCACGCTACGAACCCACCTGCTACCCGAGTTGGATTCCCACCCACGGCCAACATCGGTGACGATTATCTGAACCGGTCCTGGGCCTCCCCTAGCTCGACTCGGCCTCAAAATGAATACCTGTTGCGGTGTGTAAACATCAGCACTGCGGAGAACAAAGGTGGCCGCCCGGGCATGGTGCCAGCCACACACCCCCGCGTGCGCACTTGTCCCAACAGACTCTTAAGGGCTACACGGATAGGGTGAATGCGGGATATTTGCAGTGTCTAAGTTAATCTGGCACTCATCGGTGTTAAATCAAATTGAAATCCCAGACCGTGACAATTCCATTGAACTGTCATGTGGTGGGGGGGGGGGGGGTGATGCTGGATTGTGAGAAGCCTCAAATAGCCGGCGTTGTGGTAACATTTGTGCGGTAGGTTGGTAACGTTTGTGCGGTACGTTTGTAGCGTTTGTGCGGTACGTTGGTAATGTTTGTGCGGTACGTTGGTAGCGTTTGTGCGGTACGTTGGTAGCGTTTGTGCGGTACGTTGGTAGCGTTTGTGCGGGTACGTTGGTAATGTTTGTGCGGTACGTTGGTAGCGTTCGTGCGGGTACGTTGGTAATGTTTGTGCGGTACGTTGGTAGCGTTCGTGCGGGTACGTTGGTAGTGTTCATGTGGATACGTTGGTAATGTTTGTGCTGCTTCTGCTGTCTCCACAGCGGGAGAGGCAGAGGAAGATGGAGAGGATCAAACAGAAGCAGTCCCAGCTGCACGAGCTGATCCTGCAGGTGATTCCATTTAGGCCTGGTGCAGGGTGTGACCGGGGATATCTTTGTCCTCTGCATCAGATCTGTAGATGGCAGGATAATTGCGGGAAGGCTGGAACGGTGCATGAAAATATTTCAAATGCGCATGGCCCGTTTTGGGCATTATGCAAAACACCGTCAGAATTTCCTGAAGAAGTGCATTGTGGTCTTAAAATCACCATTAAAAAAATGTAAACAAAATGTGACCCAAGTGACAGCAGCGTCGCACTGACGTCACGCCTCCCCCCTACCCACCCGTCATTCCCGGACGTGTATCCTGCGCGCAATGTGCGGGCAGTCAAGGACCATAAACCATCATCAGATGATTTCGGTCATCACAGCATCTTTTGGCTCGCTGTCGGTCACCGCATCGCGCGCTTTCAGATGTGCTTCTGGGGACGTCTGGGAAACACTCTTCCGATATTAGGAAGCCACTGGACCTATGCACTTTGAATTAACCTAGATTGAAAACTAATTTCTTTAGAACTGCTTTTTGTGTTTAGTTTGTTGTCCTTCCCCCGGCACCTCCGATTAGCACAGTTGGCTACGTTCGTTGCAAAAGAAGTTCACCATACATGAAGATGGTGGTGATGAGGTGATAATGTTGATGGTGGTGATGTTGAGGTACCTGCATGATGAGGAAGTGGGGGATGTTGATGGAGGTGATGGTGATAATGTGCAATAGAAGTTCAACATACATACATACATGCACTGATAGTTTTTTAAAGAAGTTTAATTTGGTTGTTGTGACCCGCAGCAAATCGCCTTCAAGAACCTGGTGCAGAGGAACCAGGAGATGGAGAAAGTGACGAAGCGAGGGCCCGCACACAACACTGCCATCCACCTGCCGTTCATCATCGTCAACACGAGCAAGAAGACCGTCATCGACTGCAGCATCTCCAGCGACAAGTGAGTGACCGCCGGGGAGCCGGTGCAATGGGAGCAGCAGCCGTACCCGAGACACTCCACACGTGCGCACGCTGGCAGTCAACTAGCCGCGATTCCCACCACAGCCGCCCGCCCATCATGGACTGACTGGGGGAGAATCGCTGTGCACGTAACGGACACGTGCGTGGGCACGTGGGTTAGTGGTTTGGTGGGGGGGGACTGCGCGTGGGTGAGCTGCTGTGCCTGATGGCCGAGCAGGCGGCTGGACGAGTTGGTGGTCAGGTGACCGGGTCATCTGGTCGGTGCGGCGGTTGAATGGGTGCACAGGCCTAGGTGTGAGTGTGGTGGGGCACGCGTCTCACCCAGGCTCCCTCCCTCCACTCCCCTCCCTCCACTCCCTCCCCATTTGTCCGTCCGTCTGTGCAGGTTCGAGTACCTCTTCAACTTTGACAACGCGTTTGAGATCCACGACGACGTGGAGGTCCTCAAGCGCATGGGGCTCACGTTCGGCCTAGAGACGGGGACGTGCTCGCCCGAGAACATGGAGCGTGCGCGCCTCCTCGTGCCCAAGGCCCTGCAGCCGTTCGTGCGCGGTACGACCGCCGATCCTCCCCTCACCTCGCCACCCCCACTCCGTTCCCCCGCACTCCACCCTCCCCACGTGCGTCATTTTGTCCGAGTACGTCCGACGCCGCGTCGTTTCACGAGCTTTTTTTTTCCCCCCTCGTCAATCAGAAATACGGGGACAAATTGTCTCTCCGTAAATCGCAGTCGTAATCGGTTGACGCACTGTCCAAGTAATAAAAAAAGCAAGCAAGCCACTTCGTGATTAACACAGAGGAATACCCGTGTCTTCAAAGTGTGTGAAACGTACGACCGAAATTGTGGAGCTACTGGCACATTCATAGCAGTTGACTTCGAAGTTCCCGAAGCGTATCGTTCAATGTGCATACGTACATATCGAGAGAGAGAGAGGGGAGGGAAAAAGGCTTTGAAATCACTCGCACGACTTAATTCTACAGAAGCCTTTATTCACCGGCACACGCGCCTGGGCAACCAAGGTAGCTCTGGAAACGGAAATCGCCCGATTCCTGAGATCGCATCCTGGTGAAGCTCGGAGCAGTTTGAGCGAAAGCGTCGTTGCATGTTGACGTTGAATCCAGTCGCGAGACGTGAGGAGGGACGCGAAGGGCCTTTGCCAGTCCGAATTTGACCAACACTCTGGCGCGTATAAATGATATCCTTGTGAACGTGACGGTCTTGTCGGGTGGGTGGAATGGTTAATGGCAAGGAATACTGGCGTAAAGCCACCACCACCGCGTGGCCGGACTCGGCAACTTGTGGGGGCGGCACTCGCCGCCCCCAGACCTGGCCGCGTGCGATGGTGCCGCAAGAGACGCTACCCCCCCAATGCCGACCCGGCGGACTCACCTGGCATCGTATTTCCGGCCGCTGTCCCGTTTGCAGACATGGCGTGTCAGCAGTTCGAGTCGGCCGATCAGAACGCCGCGTCCGGCCGGTGAGTTTTGAGCCAACGTTGGCAGGGCCCCCGGCTTGCCCCCTTGCCTGCGCCGCGTGCCTGCGGGCGCCTCGCGTGCGGTCGTGCCGAGGTGTGCGGTTTGTCGCGTGCCGGCGAGCGCGAGGCACGGGGCTCGACGCCGCGCTCGTATTTAACCTCAGTTGGGCGCTGCGAGATGTTAGGTATCACACCGGGTTTACAGGATTTCTTGGGTTCGATCCCGACTATTTGAAGTTTGCATGTCTTTCTCACCGTGGTCGCGTGGATTTGTCTCCGGGTCCTCCGATTTTTGCCTAGACATTTAGAAACTTTCGTTCAGAGTATTTGACTGCTGCTATAAATTTACACGTGTTAAGCCACTTGGTTGAGCTATCGTTTGTAGCCATGTAGCTTCTGATAAAGAGCTATGTATCCCAGTGGACCTTATCTGGTAAAATAAAAAAACAACCCCAGGCTAGGTGTCTCAGTGAAGGGGTGGGCTCAGCTGTTGACCAATTTGACACAGCACGGGTGGCACAGTCGCGCTATGGCGGCACCGGGCTTACGGGAACCATGGGCAGCCAATTTTTTGTATCAAAGGCCTCCCCACGTTGTGCAAGACGCAGGGGGTTGTTTAGGCATACTTCACCACGCTGGTCAGTACAGGTTGGTGGAGGGGAGCGTATAGCAGGTTGTGACGGGGAGGGGGGGGGGTCCTAGTACAGTCCAACAGTTGATTTGGCTGAGCTGCCCTCCGCTGCCCGCACCATATATCCCGCTTTAGAAACACTATCCAGGCTCAACCCTGCTGAGATTCAGAGATCGGGCGTATTCCGGGTGATTTGCCCGTAGGCGGTAACATCGTAGACGAAAATAGGGGGGTGGTAATGTTTGGGTCAGAGGGAGGGGGAGCTCTTTTGTGATGGGATAAATGAGAGGCAGTTGTTAATTAATGGCCGTGTTCTTCACTATTTTTTCAGAGGGGGTGCCACTTTTGTCAATAAGGCATAATCAATGTGAGGGCCCCCACACATATGAAACCATTGGGGGTTTGACAGTAAAAGGATGATGATATGGGGGGGGGGGTGTTTTCACCATTTGTGTATTGTCAGGGGCCGCACGTCCCGCACCTCGCTTAAAGCCACCAGTGACCTGCCATTGGCCCACGGGCCATGCAATGAAGAACACTGATTTACGGTTAGACATCGAGCTGCAATGTCCCTTGCGAGACCCGATGTGAGCCGTTCAGCTACAGTGTGCCCGAGCCGTTGCGTCGCGGCTAGACAGAGGGTGTGGCCATGTTGGGGTGAGACGTGAGTGCGGTTGGCCTCGTGGCTTGCAGGCTGGACGGGCTGCCCTCTCCACTGGACATCGAGGTGGACGGCGCCACGTTGGCGTTGGCGGCGGTCGACGCGGCCCCTCGCTCCGGCGGCGGCGGCGGCCGCTCCCGCAACGCGACGCCCTTTTCCTTCCTTGGCGACGAGGAGGAGGAGGACGAGGAGGAGGAGGACGAGGAGGAGGATAGCGAAGAGGACAGCGACGAGGACGATGACTCGGACTAACCGGGTGCGCGGTTGTCACACGTCTCCCGCACCGCCGCCAGTGCGCGGAGCGGGAGACGCGGAGATCACGCGGCGTGGGCAGTGCCATCCAGGCCGAGGCTGCATTCACACAAACACCCCCCCCCCCTTCTCCCCCCGTTGCCCGCGTTCAATTTGCACTGGGGCCATGGCGAGGACCAGGTCTTTTAAGTATATCCGACCTGACCTGGGCACAGCTACACCTGACGTGCAAGGAGATGGTTCTTCGGGTTCAACGTGTACCGCACACGAGGCATCGCCAGCCGACCGCGTTGATCGCGCACCGAGGTTGCTGCTGCTGTTGTTGTTGCGCATCCACGCAAGCGTGGCCTTCATGAGTTGGAACGATTCTCGGGTTTCTACATCGTGTGCGAGCTCCGCCTCCTTAAAGGCGTTGGTGGGCCGATCGCACGAACCGCCCGTTTAATCGCCTCCGCCCGCGACGTGAGATTGACGTTCGAGCGACAGCAACGTAAGCTGGCGCCACCCTCGAGGCCCATCTCTCGTGCACGTGGGCCTGAAGCGAAAACAGCTGCAACTCGCCCACTTCCTGTGCTCCGGAAGATGAAGTGCGTCGCCGTGCGTCGCCGTGGAAATGCGCCGACGTGTGCCGCGTCCGCTTCCCCCCCCCCCCCCTTTGGCCCCGGTTCACTACGTCGGGCAAACGAGCTCTGGTGCCGGCCAGAGTCCTCTTAATTAAAACCTGCCGTGGGTTCCCAACAACCCCCTTTTTTCCCCTTTTCCTTTGTTAAAAGCCTGTTCGGATCCGAGCTAGTTTAAATCCGAGTTGTGATTGCTCGTGTTCCTTATACAACTCTCCCGTGTGGTGTGCAGGATTCACTTAGCATTGCGAGTGCCGCTGCCTAGGGGGCGGGTTTCTTGCTGTGAACAAACGCTTGTGCTTGTAATTCCCCATGTTCTTTATTCACTTGTGGTCTCAGTTTTTTTTTATCAGACAGTGCAGCCCATCGTAGCTCCTTAATTCAGGCCGGTGTTTTTTTTTTTACGGATCCAGAATTTAGCGCACGCTACAACCCTCTTCTGTTCTTGCAGCTTCCTCTTTTTTTCGCAGCCACACGGATGAGCTGTTCAATCATATGTCCGACACAGATCTGGTTCAGGGTGAACGCACAAAGCGCAAATGCAGTTTCGGCAAGGCCTCTGCTGCGTCAGGCGGGTCTTTTAACGCGTGTATTTTTATAACCAGCAGTCGACTGCCATCGGTGTGTTCCTATCTACAGCCTCCGGTCCCTCCGGCAAACGTGCAGCTATGTGGCTGATGGGGTCAGTCCTCTGTGTCACCTGTGGGTTTCGACGCCAGCCCTTCGTTGGCCTCTGTTTAATAACCACTGAGATCGTTTTATGTTGCGTACGGAAGAGCAGGGTATTTATAGTTTACGCGGGGGCGAGGGCATTGCGAGTGGATTGCGCGCGACGCGTCGCTGGTGCCCGTGCGGCGACGAGCGCTCGCGAGCGGGCGCAGCTCGCCGTGCGGCGCCAGCGATGCGGGGATCGCGTCGCCGGCGCCCACCCGGGCGGCGACCTGCTTCTCGCTAACGAGCGCGCGGCCGTCCCCTCACTGCGCGTGCGAAGCTCGCACGCCCGGTCTCTCCTTTTTTAACACGAGTCCTGCTGCGAGCACGATCCCGAACCGTTCGCCAAGTCCAAGCCCTTTTGCTCTAACCCCAGTCTCGGCCGTGCTGCGTTGGCGACGGCGGCGGCGGCTCGTGAGGGCCGCGCGATTGCGCTGAGCCAGCACCGCTGGGAATCCTCTGCGCGAGTCCAGGCAGTCACTCCAGGTGCTCCCTGCTGGGTGGGCCGATGGTCTCGGCACAGGCACCGACGACTACAAAAAATATAAGCATCTCCTTTTACGAGTTGGTTCCTTCACGTTGCCGATCGCCGAACGTGTCGGGTGGGTGGGTGGGGGGGAACGCGCAGAGAGCCGCTCTATGCAGCACGAAGAGGGCACCTGGCACGTGTTGTGAAAGAGCGTCCTCGTGAAACGACCGCGCAAGTAAGTTTGCGCTCCTCTTATCCGCAGTGAACTTAGGGGACCCGTTTGCAGATGAGCAAAATTGTGGATCTGAGGAGGCGTGACGTAGTCTGAGAAAACGATTTATATTAACCGCGACGTCGTTGGAACAGATGCGGGGCGACAGGAATGATTCTGCGTGCGGGACAACGCGCCGCAGGTGTGGTGCCTGATCATCGTGAACGTCGAGATGAGTTCTCCACTTGGGTGTGGTTTGTGAATCCAACTCCCTCACCATGTCGTGCAGGCCTCTTCTTCTTATCCAAGGAAGCCGTGGATAATGGAGGTGAATTTAAGAACTGCCAACACCTTTATCTTTCTGTTATCTCTTAACTCGAGGGTAGGCGAGGAGCGCCGACCGCTGGGTTAATGGGAATAGTTGCAGATCTGTAAGGCCCTGCGGATAATAGGATCGCAGATGAGAGGAGACTCGTGAGTTGGTGGTCTCGCACCCCCGTGCTGACCGAAAGAGGAATGCTTTATCCACCCCGAGACATGAGGGATGTTTGTCGATTCATAATAGATTGTTGGGGCTGGTCACGCAAGTTCGAATGTGTCCTGAACCCTCCTCCAACCGACGCAGCCGATTTATAAAGTTGTCACGCAAACGATCAAATCCGAATGGTAATGTTGGTCACGAAAAGCCCTTGTGTTAAATGCATCAACCTCTACGGCGTGGATGCTTATCGCAATTCCGGCAACTGTGCATGGTCATGCCGGTTGTAAACTACCACTGAAACGTCGTACCCAATTATTAAATGTGTGTGTGGATCGCTCTCCCAAACACCACATCGGTGTGCTGAAGCAGTAATAAAATTGGCATGTTTGTTCATCACGTGACTACTTTATTAATTGGCTGTGTTGGGTGGAGGGTTTACGACACAATTTACTTCCACCATCTGACCCCAAAAAAACTATCTTATGAATCATAATATTGGAAGCCTACGTGTTAAAGGGGGGATGTTGGTGATTTATGTCGTTAAAAATATATATGTAAAAAGTTTCATCCCAAAATGGATCCTAAAAACCAGCCATATTTGTAGATCTGCGTGCATGCTTGATGCGTACCTCAGCCATGCAACAACAAACACTTCATCACTGCCGTCCGTTACGATTTTTACTATAGTTTGTGTTAAAGCTGCACCTGATCAATGCCATCTTCTCCAAGACTGCGGGTTCTACCCCCCCCCCCCCCCCGCCTGCCTCTCCAATATGAGCCACTGACAGACAGGCGATTGGGACCTATGCTCCTGTGTTACCGAGATTACACCAAGCACTTTGATCCGCCGCTATTACAAAAATACGGTGCTCCGTGTGCGCCGCCATCTGACGTTTGCTGCGCAGGCGGTTTGTCAGCCGTCCCCGTGGCTGTTTTTGTGATCCCTTTGGGTTTTAAAGCGAAGTTGAATTGCTTTTCCAAGGGTCTTGGCAGTGGAGGGCAGTTTGCGCGCGCAACAGTTGCAGAATCGCCGTGTGGGTTGTGAGCGCATTTGGAGCTGTATGGGGGGGGGGGGGGGGGAAGGAGAGGCCAGATGAAGCGTTGTATAATAATCGGTATTGCAGCAGTCGGCATATTTTTTTTACCGGAGGAATCCGATGAGCTGTAAAGATCTTTGTTTCGCAGATGTCCAGTAAACTGATGCCAATTAATAACTACAGTAGCATCAGTTGTTTTCCTGAGAGCCTCAATGAGTCTTTACCTGAGTCTCACAAATCTGGCTGTCGCCTGATGAAGCTAGTTGCAATTACTGGCGAAACGTTATACTCAGATTGTAAATGTTGTGGCTTGGCTCTCCCAAACACACCGGTGTGCTGTACTATTTACGTGACAAACCTTTCTAATTGGCTGTGTCCGGGTGGTGGTAGGTTTAACGACACATATTTTTACGCGATTTCACCCCAAAACAAATCCTATTATGAATCAATGAGTCTTAATAAAACAAATTCAGGCTGGTCCCGCTTCTTTGGGATGTTTGGCCGGTTCCCATTAATGGCAGTTTTTGCTTCATTTGGAGGACAGCGGGGAAAGCCCCAGCACTGCCATCGACCCTCCTGGTGACCTCCCGGGCCACACGCCTACAACACCTGGCAAGCCCTGGTCGACAGGCTTACCGCCCCCCACCCCGGCTGTGCTTCTGAGAGTTAATAAGACCGAACCCTGCTCGATGTGCTCTTTGCGTTGCTGTGTTTTGGCCAAAGCTGTAAAGTAGTGGCACTGTTAAGCGGGTCATTGTGTTAGCACCACATGATCCAGACATTCCCATCCATGAATGTCTCACATTATGACGATAAGGGCTTGTACACGTTCATCTTTACGAGTTTCGTCCAATTATTGAATCCGATATCACTTCCCGTGCGTGTGCACTCACAGTGGTCAACTGCCAAGGTGATTGGTTACACTTGTAATCAACGGACGCTGGACAGAAGTGGGCGCCGCGATGGCGAGGAGATGTTAACTACCTCGCCTGGTACGCAGGAGATCGTGGGTTCGATCCCGACCCTGACGCCTGCTGTACATTTGGAGTTTTCATGTTCTCCCCGTGGTCGCGTGGATTTTTCTCCATGCCCTCTGCTTTTTCCCTCCACATTTAGAAACACGCCTTTAGAGCATTTGGCCGCTCTACATTTCCACACGATAAGCCACTTCGTTGAGCTATCATTTGTGGCCAGATCGCTCGTGAAAAAAAGCTATATAGCGCAGTGGGCCTTGCCTGGTAAAATAAGAAGTTTAGTATATTGTCTAGTGTTGGTTATCAGTCTGGACATTTACATTGTGTTTGTGTCCTGAGTCTGGCTCTCGGTACCGTTAAGAATATCCGATGCGATTCCTGCCTCAAACACACCCGTATCATGGAGCAAAAGTTCTCTCTGCCAAAGCAGTTTAAGTCTTCCGTCAAAAACCCGTGCCGTGACGCCGGTGGCTACCCCCCCTCCTCATAGACCCCCCCCCCCCCCCCCATTGTGTTGTGTGAAACACGACCGATATGTGCGTGGTGCTCGGCCATCGGCGTCGATCCATGTGGGGAGGGCAATGGCCGATCGATTGCCCCCCCCCCACTGAGACCTGTGATGAGTGTCACCCGTGTGTAGATTGCGCGTTTGGTTAATTGACTAATTTAGAATCTCGTGCGCAGGACACATACACGCTCGTGTGTCGTGTGCGTGTTGTCGAGCCGTCGTGTAGCGGTTAGCGCACTGCGCTTCGAAGCCGGCGACCCGAGTTCGATTCCCGCTCACGGCCAACACCGGTGACGATTATCCGAACCGGTCCTGGGCCCCACCCCTAGGTCGACTCGGCCTCCAATGAGTGACCTGATGCAGTGCGTAAGCATTGCCATTGGGGGGAGATGAAGGCGGCCGGACGTGGTGCTGGCCACCCACCCCCTCATGTGCCGTGCCGGCCTTCATAGATGCTCGCTCACGGCACTTGCCCCAACAGTCTGTTTAGGCTACATGGGCGGAGGAGGGGGGGGGTCTTTGTAGTCGACCTGTGGGTCTGAGAGTCGACGTCCTGTAATTTATTTGGTGATTGCGTGCAAGTTTGTGGTGTGCTCCCTCGGGACACGTCGGGGTGCCTCGTGGACTGCACGGACACACGAGAGAGAGAACCAGTCCGAGCTCCTTTTGGGTGGGTGAAATGAGACGCACAAGTAAATTGCAACAGCGAAATCGTGCCCCAAGCATTCACCTAGTAATCGCTGTAGGGGTGGTGGTGTGGGGGGGTTACATCCTTTGCGTACCGAGTGTGCCCCTTGCCAGCCTTAATCCACCGAGCCGCCAGAGAGGCTCTCGAATGGCTCCATAATCTCAGTATCCACACACACACGCACAAGACGTTGCTGGGGTTCCCCCCCCCCCACCCACCCACCCACCTCTTGCCATAAGAAATAAAAAGAAGTCGTGGTCTCGCACTCGGCAAATGCGCGGCTGGTGCGTTTGCGATCTGATCTTTGGGCCGCGTTATCCCCGAACAACGGCAACCCACGCGTCACGGACTCCTTATGGGGGAGGGCTCGAGTCTTCGTTTGTGTC